TTCTGGGCCACGTGCATGAATGTGGGCACGCACATGCATGTGGCACCCCCTGAGTCTGCTCCTGGCAGTCCCTTGAAGGCTGGAATCAGGGGCGATGCATAGTGGGTGCACTCAGGTGCATGTGCATCCCCTGAGTGTGGCAGCGCACCCCCTGCAAAAAGGCGCCGCTGTCGGTGTCAGTGGAGCCTGTGGGTGGTCGCCGCTTGCCACCCTGCCACCAACACCGCTGGTGGTATCTGCAGGTGGTCCACAATCGCCGCTGGCTGCTGCCATCACTGCTGGCAGCACCTGCGGGTGGTCCCCACCCCCTGGTTTCCAGACCCATAAGGAGCCCCATAGGACTGAGAATGTGGCCCTGAGTGCTAGATTATTGGTCCATGATGCAGGGGTAGATTAATGCCTCCTCCCTAAAATCTGTAGTGTGTGTGTGTGTGTGTGTGTGTGAGAGAGAGAGAGAGAGAGAGAGAGAACATGGGCTTTGGCTGGGATCCCAAATGCCGTACTAGGCTCTGGGAGGAATAATCTGGCCTGGATTTTTCTGAATCTTGTCAATGCAGCAGGGTGTGGGAGTACAAAGGCCTCTTCACCATGGAAGTGTGGTGGGAGTGGTGGCAATAGTGCGAGCTCAGAGGAGGAAGAGGAGAGAGTTAATCCTTGGAGAAACAGGTGAGCTTAGGCAGATGAGGAGAGCTCTCTGCTCTGCTCTGGTGCCTCTGCCCCACCCTGTCCCTCTCCTGACCTGGGTGTGCCTACTGCTGCTTAAGGTGCCTGGGCAGCTGCTCAGGGAGCAGGGATTCCCAGGGGGTGCTGTCTGTCCCCCACGTCCCCAGGTTGGCTCCAACTCCCTGCTGCTGCCACTTTCTCCTGGCGAAGACTCAGCCAGGACCCACCCCTCAGCTCTGCTGGGCAGCAGGCAGAGAAAGCCGTACCCTCGTGGCTGCCGGAGCCTACCTTTAGTTTAGTGCCAGGTACCTGCATCCTCTGCCCCTGTGGGAAGGAAAAGCCTGGCAGTACGCAGGGGGCTGCAAGCCACCTGTTCTGACCTGGGTGCAGCTGGGGGCTGGGTGCAGGTGCGGTACTGTGGTTCGGGGCTCTTCCCTGTGGGGACTCCGATTTTCTATTTGCCCGAGGCTGCAATAAATCTTAATCTGCCAATGCATGATGGGCCTGTGGTCACTCCATGGCTGGATCTGGCATTCAGGCCTGGGGTAGCATGCACCTGGATCCCCTGTGCAGAATCAGGTTGATGCATTGGGTTGGGCTGCAGCATGGATGCATTCAGGCTGCAAAGTAGGCCTGTACCACTCACCCAGACTGCAGGGTGAGAACACTGACGATCATTGCTCTAGAGCAGTGGTTCCCAACCTTTTTTTACCACAACTCGCTGCTGGGAGCGGAGTGCAGCGGCGGTAGTGGCCTGGGAGCGGAGAAGCTCCTGGCACGCGGTGCGGCTCGTCCTTTGTGTGCAGTGCTGCAGGTATTGCCCCTGAGACCCTCATTTGGATCACGACCCGAGAGGGTGCAGTAGGACATCAAAGGAGAGGAACCTGTGTATGGGGAGGGGTAGGCTGTGCGCTGCAACAGGTTCATTTAGCTTAGCATGAAGCAGCACTTCTCTCTGTCCATCTCTCCATGCTGCAGAAGAGCAGAGAAGGCTGTCTGTCATTGTAGCTGTAAATCCATGACGGAGTCTGCTTCCAGAACTGGACTGCATAAGGCTGTCCCTGTCCCACTGCACCTGAAGACCAGTCCCTACGGAGCTAGCCATATGTGTCCAGGGCCCCATCCTAGGTATTTTGCTCTTGCAACGTAGAGTGCACAACTTCTGTAGACAGCCACTCGTTGCCTAGGATAGTTGCCCTGCAGCTCAGCCTGGAAGTGCCTGGCTGAATGTTAAGAGTGTTCAAACCTTTGGCAAAAAGTCAGAATCTAGTCTGCAAACCCAGGCAATTGGCAAAAAGCTTGCACACTTATTAAAGGAACAGAAGGGCCTGTTAACGCTGGAGCTGCCTGTGGATGAAGTGCATGATTATCGTAGGGGAACATGCTGTCTTTGGGTAATAGCTCTGACTACTCCCCCCATCAGGCTGCCATAGACAGATCCCAAACAACTGACAACATGTATTGACTTAGTCCTGCTGTAGGGCTGGTGGAAGTTTGCAAAGGGGTTGCAGTGCCAGGGTGGGGGCCTGCAGCTGCTGTCATCAACCCAAGAGGGGTCTGACCCCACCTTGTAAAATCATAACTCACTTGGATGCTGATAAAAGGGATATGATTTGCAGTTCCTAGCCCAATCATCTGGTCGAGTTTGGGGTTTCCAGAAGCCATTGCTTGTCATATGGCAACTATCCATATTCCCTGACTCTGGTAACAATGGACACAGGGATTTTTGCCTTGGTTGTATATCAGGCCAAAGGAAGCCAGAAAGTTATTTATGGAAAAGCTCTGGTCACTGCTTGGTTTTGAGGCTACAATTGGGATCAGAAACTGAAATGAATGAAGGGGAGGCTACTTCAAAACCTGACTGGACTGTGATCTAATGGCCACAATACCTAGCAAAGGAGACCTCCTCTCCCACTCCTCCTGTAGCCCCCCAAGCCTTACATTGGTTACTGAAGCCAAACTAAGGCCCCCTTTGCTGCAGACCACATCCGGTTCGGTCTCCTTCAGTGTTGCCGGTGCCCAGGCCAGGCGCTGCCGAGGGGCAGGAGCTGCTGGGGCTGGGCCGAGCTGCGCTGCAGCAGGGTTCAGCGCCGGAGACCGCATTTCTCGGCAGGCCCCTCTAGCGGCTCTCCCCAGCACTCTCGGGTGCGGCTGCAGGACTCCACCTCCTCTGCTCGAGTGGAGCGCACGGCTTCGCGGGGAGCCGCTGTAAATCAACTTTGCCATCAGGTTCAAGGACTGCAAATCTCCCTTTAAAAACCATTGTGAGAAGAAAAATACGAGACTAATTCCATACGTTTCCAGGCAAGTAAACAGCCCTAATTCATGCGGTTAGAGGGGGAGGGCCTGCCGAGGGATCCATGGTGGGGGCGAGCTTCCGTATAAAATGGGAAGGCAAGAGCTGTACGAGTGGCGGCTGCTCTGCCCTTGCAGGGAGGAATGAAGGGGGCCAAGCCCGAGAGCTCAGGAGACAGCCATGGGCAGGCAGCGCTCGCTCGGGGCCTCGGAAGCGCTGCGCCGTGGCCCGTGGGTCGGAGCTGGGGCTTCGGGCTCTGCGGGGCCGGGAGCGCCGGCTCTGCGTCTCCGTCCAGGATCTCGGGGCAGAGTTTTCGGATCCCGGGAGGATTTAGGGTCGCACCAGGGCTCTTTTCTGGGCATCTCCGCAGGGGCACGGAGATGGCTGGACGGGAGCTGGCTGGGACTGGGGGTTTGGGCCGACTCCCACGGGCTGCTGAGACGCGCTTCCTCAGGCACGATGCATGTAAGAAGCAGGGGCCGAGCCGGGCGGGGGACTCCCTGCCTACTGCCGGTTTAGGAGGCTAGTAGCTTCGCGATCCGCCGGCGCGCTCCGGATCCCGCCTGGTCCCTCGCTCTCCGCGCAGGATCTGATAAGCAGCCTGAGCTCCACCTCTCCCGGCTGGCAGCAGCAAGAGGCGGAGGCAGAGGGGGGAGGAGGCTGTGCCTGAAAGCAGGGGCCGAGCCGGGCGGGGGACTCCCTGCCTACTGCCGGTTTAGGAGGCTAGTAGCTTCGCGATCCGCCGGCGCGCTCCGGATCCCGCCTGGTCCCTCGCTCTCCGCGCAGGATCTGATAAGCAGCCTGAGCTCCACCTCTCCCGGCTGGCAGCAGCAAGAGGCGGAGGCAGAGGGGGGAGGAGGCTGTGCCTGAGCTGCGCTGCGCTTGCCCCGCACATCCTCACACACAGCGAGAGAGGGGCAGGAGCACGGACGCA